CCAAATCAACAGACTGGTATATTCTCAGAAAAAAAGAACACACTGGTGAACTTTGTAAGACAGAAAGGTCTGGACATCCATGGAAGACAACAGTGGTGGATGATTGTAGGATCCTTTCCACAGTAAAGAAAAACCACTTCACAACATCTAGTCAAGTGAAGAACACTCTCTGATAGGCATATAATTATCCAAGTCTACCATGAAGAGAAGAAGACTTCACGAGAGCAAATACAGAGGGTTCACCACAAGGTGCAAACCATTCATAAGCCTCAAGAATAGAAAGGCAAGATTAGATTTTGCCAAAAAAAATATTTAAAAGCCAGCCCAGTTCTGGAACAGCATTCTTTGGACAGATGAAATGAAGATCAACCTGTACCAGAATGATGGGAAGAAGAAAGTACGAAGAAAGCTTGGAATGGCTCATGATCCGAAGCATACCACATCATTTGCAAAACATGACAGAGACAGTGTGTTGACACTGGCATGCATGGCTTCGAATGGTTCACTAGTGTTTATTGATGATAAGACAGAAGCAGCCAGATAAATTCCTAAGTGTTTAGGGAGGGATATACTGTCTGCGCAGATTCAGCCAAATTCAGTGAAGCTGATTGGATGGCACTTCACTTTACAGATGGACAATGACCCAAAACATACTGAAAAAACAACCCATGAGTTTTTCAGGCAAAGAAGTTGAATATTATGCAATGGCCGAGTCAATTCAACCAGATCAAGCAAGCACTTCACTTGCTGAAGACAAAACTTAAGGAAGAAAGACCCACAAACAAACAACTGAAGCCAGCTGCAGTAAAGGCCTGGCAAAGTATCACAAAGGAGGAAATCCAGCGTTTGGTAATGTCCATGCGTTCCAGACTTTAAACAATCATTGCCCGCCAAGGATTCTCAAAAGAGTATTAAAGATAAACATTTTATTTAGGATTGTGTTAATTTGTCCACTTACATTTGAGCCCTTGAAATGAGAGGACGGTGAATGAAATGAGAGGACGGTGAATGAAAATAGTTGCAATTCCTAAATGTTTCATATAGTATTTTTGTTCAGCCCCTTGAATTAAAGATTTAAAGTCTGCACTTCAATTGCATCTCATATGTTTCAGTTCAAATCCATTGTAATGGCACACAAAGCCAGAATTGTGAAAATTCTGTCAGTGTCTAATCATTTCAGTACCTAACTGCATATTCAAAGCAAGGACCAAGGATGCCACCCGTTTTTCAAATCAAACAAACCCGCAAGTGACTTTCTTGTCACATTTACTTTTTCTGCAAGATGCAAGTATGGCTGGTAATGGATCCAGGTTGGTGGAAAACAGCACCACAACCGGAGAGGTTTGGCTTAAAAAGGCACCTTTAAACACTGAGCAGTCTTATGCTCCAGGCATTCTCTTCCTCCAAGAGACATAACTGTGGAAACAGGTCAGACTATTGTACCTGCTTTGGAAGATTATCATGCTGGTGGATCCTGACGAAGCAAAAGAATAGCAACAACATCCCCCAAATCATGCCTGTTGATGATGGAAAACATTCTGAAAGACCCTTACAGGCTCTTCAAGTTTATCAACAGGAAGTTAAAATATAAGCCACTTACTTTAGGTTCCTATTTTACCTCAACCATTCCCAAATGTAGTTGATTACTACAGTGCTGTATCAACTGAGGGGGAAATCTGCCTTGATGAGGCACTGCATAATATGAATAGGAATTCTGCTGTGTACCATAACCACCCAAGATCTTCTGAACCCTTAGACCTGGGGATTGTGATCTCCCAAGAGGGTCACAAAGTGTTTTCTAGGGGTTGGCTTATATGTGTTGTAGTCCCTGTTAATTCCTTGCTTGACCTTTTGGAGAGCAATATTACATTTAGCATGTATGCATAAGTATGAGAAACAGGACCTTTGGGTAAGAAAGAAGCCTTTGCTTTCTGAGAAAGGATGACGTTGCCCTATTAAAAATGCCTTTTTATGCAAATGCAGTGGGGAGTTGCAAGTTACATGGCTATTACAAAAGGGGGTCATGTTATGGAAATTAGAAAATATTGACCCCCTTTTCTTTTTCAATGCTGAATTTCTCTAAAAGGCCCTTTTAGCTTCAGAAACTCAGAATCAGCGTTCTCTGAAAGTTCATTATAGCTGGGGAAATTGTCTCCTTCACCCACGCGAGGGGAGATAACATAGTGAAGGACCAGGGGCAGTACCAATTCTAAGATACAGGCAGTGTCAGCATTTTAATAAATTACATCAAATGTAATATGTGAATATGGGGTTATCACACTCACAGTATGTCAGTAAGAGGTGTTACAAGGTCATATTCCTGGGGCCTCAAATGTAAAAACAGTAACAACATCAGAGAACATATGTAACTCTAGGTCAGAATTGCTTACAGAAAATTGGGACTTGTTCTGCTATCACCTGCATTACATGATCAGCTTTGTTTTGGGGAGAACCCTATATAGAAGGTATGCTTTTCTGTATCAAACTGAGGTGCTTTTATTTGTCGTCTTTGACCAAAGCGATCCATCTTGCAAGCCTCGCTCTTTTAAATAACCCTTATCTCCTGTTTGGAGATAGAGATAGATAGACCGCCTAGAGTGGTCGAAATGACTAGATAGGCGGGGTATAAATACAATAAATAAATAAATAAAAATAAATATTTGCAAATGAATTATGTGGGTTCTCTCCAATTCTCTTCTCTTCCAGGACCTTGCCAGGGAAACAAAGAATCTAAATTAATTTTATTTTAATATTTATAACAGCCATGATTCGAAAAAGGTTGCCAACCACTGCCCTAGACCATTTACAATAGGTCCCACTATTTCCAAAGTGAATGTCATGTTATGTTTTGCCAGATTTGCCTCTTAGCATAGGCTCAACTACATATCTTAGTCTCAAAAAGCTTCAATAGTCAGATTAGCAATATAACCACTGAGCAGATCACCCTTTCAGAACATGTCCCTGCCACTGAGATTTCGAAAGTCAGCTCTTTGCTCCTACAGGCACTCATGTGGAAGTTCAAATCAATGCTGTTCTTTGAACAGCTTTTCACAAACATGACTGCACAATATATTTATAGTTTTTATGAGAATGCCCACTTATGCACCTCTGTCATGTTTCTATAGGATAGATCAAAATTTGTTCTTAACATCCTTTTTATCCAAGAAGCCTCATTAGTAAACAAAACAAAACAAAAAAACCAGGAAATCTGAGGTCAGGCAAAACCTACTTCAAAAAATAACCATTCTTTCAAATCTGCACAACAAATCAGGTAGCATAAAAATCTTAGCTGAATTATTGAGTAGATGAGTTAAATTAAATGTCCCAGATATTGACAACATTCAGACATTATTAATCTACCTAAATCCCCAACAATACAGTTTGGCAATAAAAGCTACTACTGACAAACCAATTTCACTTATCTGCAGCTAAAGCAACAGCTTCAAGTACTCTGTAACATGGATAACCATGAAACTAGGAGATCAGACACCTCACCACCTCATTCTTACCATGCCATTCTTACCAACCAACAAAAGTGCCCTGGATAAAGTTTCTAACTCCTTTCTTGCTGCAACACTGAGCCTGATGCTCACAGGCTTAAAACCGAGCTACCATATTCTCACCCCTCTGTCTTAGTCTCAACCTCCGGCAATTCTATATTTCAGATAAATCTGCATAGTACAGAGGCCAGAAAGAGAGAATGAACAGTACCTGTCAGCTAAAATATCTATTCAGCACCAGTGTACCAATCCAAGCAGAATTGTTGTTTATCAAAATGCAGGGGATAGGGGTCACCTGGATGCAGACAACCTAGATCTGTTCCTTTGCAAGTGTTGTACTGCCCAAACACAGGACCCCAGATCTCCCAGCAATTTCAAAGAGCTGTTTGTTGCTCCTTCCAGTGGCACAAGTCACATCTTTGGCTAGATGAAGACCTGAATAGGAGATAGCTGGCTCAAAAATATTTTGGGAGTTGTACCTTCAGTCTGATTCTCCAAGGAACTCAGCATTTATTTAATTATTGGCTACATTAATCCTACCTTTCCTCCAATGAACTTAAGGATGCATACATGGTTCTCCTCTCCCTTTCTTTCTTCTCCCAGGGTAAGCTAAGAAAGTGAGTGACTAGCCTAAGGCTACCCTGTGAGTTTCATCACTGTGTGCAAATTTCAGCCCAACTCTCTCCCAGGTCCTAGGCCTCCACTTTAGCCATCACGCTATACTACGTATAAGATAAAATTCGTCCATCATATCCACCTCCACATAGGTACAGGAAAGCATGTGTACATTACTGTGCCACTGGCACAAACGCTCTACCAGAATATCCCATTTTAACTGCACAACCAAGCCCCTATCCTGGAAGTTGAAGGGAATTAGGTTTGCTGTTACATACATAGGTTGAGTGTCCTCTACTTTCAAACATCAGGATCACAAACCAACTATCTCATCGTCCACTGTTCACATTACTCACCTTAGTATTTTTCCACATACAACTCCTCTCTTTGCTTAAAAGAACAAATGTGTGCAATCTATTTTTGATATTCTTAGTATTTTGTCAAAGAGCAAGTCACATTTACCATACAAGCAAAGATACAAAGCATTAAGTAATGAGTGCAGTTTATAGCATCAATGTATAATTTCAAGGACTTTCCTCGCCAATATTATTCCCTGAGATGCACCATAATGCCAAGCAAAACCATCCAGGTCACCACCGCACCTGATAGAAATATTTGAAGTGGTCATATTTTCTACCACGTCTTACCACCACCACCCCTTTAGCCATTTATCTGGGGATGCTTCTCTGCTCTTTGCCCCCACCATCTGTCTTTCTGACTCCAGAGGGTCACTGCCTCTGTACATGGAGGTTCTGAGGGCAAATGGCAAACCCAGCAGACTCTTCCCTCCCCCTCCCCCGTTTCCTCCACAAGTTCGGTTTAAAAAATCTCTTTTTTTCACCCACGTTACCCAAATTTTCCACCACCCGCGCCGCGGCTCCTTACTCTTTTAAAGCCTCAGCTCCCTCAGTTTCTCTCTTCCCTCGCCTTCGGGGCGCCATTTCCGCCGCAGCCGCCGGACATTTCCTCCTCACTTCCCGCCTTTCTACCTATGGCGTCGCCCCCCCCCTTCCACAATGTCTCACCTCAGAGACGAGGGGAGGGACGACCCTCCCCGAAGCCTGCGGCCCCCCCCCCGCGCGCGCCGCTGGCAGAACGCCTTCAGGTGACACGAACCGAAGCGCCTGATTTCCCGGGAGGCCTCCCCCACCTCCCCGGTCCTTCTCCTCAACGAGCAGGCTGATACACCGCTCGCTATTGGCTCTATGAGACGCCTTCTCCAATTGGTTCACGCTGCTCTTCTTCTTCTTCTTCTTGCGCTTTCAGACCTCCCTGCCCTTCAAACTCCTTGCTCCACTTTTTCTTCTACCTTACTGGCTGAAGGAGTGTTGGGCGTATCCGGGCGCGCGGCTTCTCATTGGGCACGAGGAAAAAAAAACTTGGCCTCTGGCTGCTGGGCTCAACCACAGCCTTGAAGAGCGACGGGGCGTTTGGTGGTTGTGCTCCGGGCTTGGCACGTGGGGCTGTTGCTTACTGTTGCCGTCTTCTGCCCGGCGCTCTTCGGCTACTATGGCACAAGCGCCCCTGGGCTTTGTCCTAGAATAAATGGATTGTCGTTGATGCAACCTTGGCTCAACGATCTCTCACTCTCTCTTTAGATGTCGAGCTGGATAGACGCATTTGCGAAGCAGCTACCATGTTGTCTAGGCTTACAAAGAGACTACGGCTTAACAAGAAGTTGACGGCATACACCACGATCCAGGTCTATAGAGCCTGTGTCCTGAGCACACTCCTGTACTGCAGTGAGTCCTGGACCCTTTGTGCATGGCAGGAGAGGAAGCTGAACACCTTCCATATGTGTTGTCTCCAGCACATTTTCGGTATCACCTGGCAGGACAAAATTCCAAATAGTGTAGTCCTGGAACGAGCTGGAATTTTTAGCATGTATATATTACTGAAACAGCAACATCTATGTTTGCTTGGGCATGTTGTGAGAATGGCTGATGGTCGGATTCCAAAACATCTCCTGTATGGAGAATTAATGCAGGGAAATCACCCCAGAGGGAGACCACAGCTGGATATCTGCAAGTGGGATCTGAAGGCCTTAGGAATGGACCTCAACAGATGGGAAACCTTGACATCTGAGCGTTCAGCCTGGAAGCAGGCGGGCCGGTGCCATTTCTCCCAGTTCGAAGAGACCCTTTAGCAGGCTGAGGCAAAGAGGCAGTCCTGAAACCAGCAAAATCAGGGAGCTGGACAGGGGACAGATTTTATTTGTCTTCAATGCGGAAGGGATTGTCACTCTCGAATTGGCCTTCTCAGACACACTAGACGCTGTTCCAATTCCTCTATTCAGAGCATGTGACCATAGTCTCTTGAGACTGAAGGATGCCTACATGGAATGCAATCATTCGCAGCCCAGCAAGACCTAGACTCACGTTTGGACAAGAACATTTTCCACTTCATTAGCCATGTAAAAGTCTGACTCTGCATGTTGGCGAACGGAAGAAGGGGAGGGGGACAAAATATTGTAGCACTTTGAAGACCTAACAGATTTATTTCAGTGCGAGCATCTGTCGATCAAAGTGCATTTCTTCACACAGGAACTGTGCTTGATTGAGCAAAGCATCACACTATAGTTTACACCACCACTGATTCCCTACCTAGGGTAACCCATGTGTTCTTGAACTGCAATACTGTACCCAGAAGCCTTCACCATCAGCTCTGCTGTCCGGGGTTTCTGGGAGTTGCGGTCCAAGAACGTGGGTTACCCAAAGTAATTTGCATGAGAACTGCTGGTTTATGATTACTTACTTTCACTGTATCTGTTGTCTACATGTACATATAGGCAAAGCATTCTTGCTACGTTTTAAGCCTTATTCAATTAATGTATTAAAATATACCTTGTTTCCCCGAAAATAAGCCCTTATGATTTTTCATGATATACGTAATATAAGACCTACCCCAAAAATAAGCACCGGTTCAGTGAAACCCTGCCCTCCACCATTGTGCAGCAAAGAAGATGACATGACTGTATTTGAATAAATGTAGATTGTTGTACATGAAAAATAAAAAATAAAACATCCCCTGAAAATAAGCCCTAATGTGTTTTTTGGAGCAAAAATTAATATAAGACCCTGTCTTATTTTCGGGGAAACACAGTACTGTAATAAGTTTTAACACAGGTTCACACAAAGTGCTACAACTATTCCTATAAACTTGCAGAGTGTTGCTTGGTGTAGAAGGGTTGGCAACTTGTAGCTCTCCAGAGGGACTACAATTTACACTCCATCCTTTACCATGGGCTGTGCTGGCTAGGGCTGATGAGAGTTGTAGTTATCACAATTAAGAAGAGCATTGATAGCTCTCTCTTTTATTTGTCCTCATCCCTGCTACACACCTTTTATTTCAATCTAGGAATTCCAATCTAAGTTGGGAAAAATACAACCTATGAAAATAAACAGAAGTCCTGGGATAGCTTTGCAAAAACTATGAAAATACACCCCCCTCAAAATACTTTTAAAAAGCAAAATTGTGAATAAGAGATATTGGCCTACTTAAGATCTAGTTCTAGTAGGAGCAAGAATGAACTTGAAATTTTTTTTGCTTACAGCTCATGCTCCTACTACATGAACCCCCGACACGTATCTGAGGTTTTTAGCCTGATCAAGTGCTGTGGAACCATGTTTTGATCTGTCTTACTCTTGTGGTTGTCCTCTGAAGATGCCGGCCAAAGAGACTGGCAAAACGTCAGGAAGAACAACCTTCAGAACATGGCCAAAGAGCCCGAAAAACCTACAATAACCATTAGATCCTGGCCGTGAAAGCCTTTGCGAATACATTGTCTTATTCTTCTTTTCACAATGAATTTGCCAATTGTTCCAATGAGTATTTGTTATAATTACATAAAACTATTTTTTTTTTCATTTGTCAGATGGCTCCTGAAACATCTGTGTCTCACAATGCACGTGGGTGGTAAAGGAGCCTTGGGAGAATAGCGTAGTAGGGTATTTGCATGAGAACCTTTGTCAAAACCACTGAGAACATATTGAAGTGAGTGAGCACTTAACTAAGATGACAGTAAACCAAAAGACTCAAAACTGAAACAAAGAAAACTCAGGAAAAGGACTACGAACCCACACAGCTGAATCATCTTACTAGAGCCTAAATGAGAACTTGTTGCCTGGCTAGACTAAGAGGAGGACACTGCTCCAAGAGGGGGCCATTAAGCATACCGCCAAACTGCAAGGAATTCCAAAGATAAGGGAAGCAAGAGTTGTTACCATATATAAAGAAAACAAGTAGTTAAACTTCAGTCAAGACTCCATTCATGACCCAAGTTTGATCCCGATGGATTCAGGTCTCCTGCTCAGGGTTGACTCGGCCTCCCATCCTTCTGAGGTCAGAAAATTGAGTACCCAAGCTTATGGGGGAAAGGATTTGTAGCCTACATAATCAAATTGTAAACTGCTTAGGTGCTATGGGAAAGTCCATAAGCAGCACATGATGTTTTATCATGGGGTCGTTTGGTGCACGTTACATTCTGCCAAGGTAAATAACACTAATGGCAATTTTAATACTAATAGTTTATAAAAGATTCTCAAATTGGCATACAGAGTGTCTCTCAGGAGACACATACATACAGCTAGGAGTTGTATGGTTCAGTGGATGCTGTTCTGTCCCTTCAGCGCTGCCTGGAGACTGTACTGCAATGGATGCAGCTGAATGGGTTGAGGCTGAACCCGGACAAGA